GAATAATCATATATGCAATTATTGTTCATTTCTATGTATCCAAATATGGCTAAACAATAAAAAAATGAATTGAGGGTCGAATGATGACCCCCACCTTTAACAAAATTCTAAGAGATTAAATGTACATTTTAGTATGCCTTAACAGTGTTTAGCCGAAAAACTATTATGTGACATTGTGGTGCAGATTTGATTTCAAGAACATCGCTTTTATCAAGCTGTCAAAAACAGATCGTACTCTTCTAAAAGCGATTAGAACCAAGGTTTATATATATAGACAACAGCAACAAAAGAAAAAGAAAAAAAGTTTAATTCATGTATATCCATGATAATTGTGGTTAATAATATTGGCTCCGTCACCAAACCCCGATATATACATTTTTGGAATGAATTGCTCAACAACTAGTTAATGGCGCGTACGTTAGGTAAACATTTTATTAACAAATCACTGTGACACGGTGACTTTATGGTGTTTTTTTTTTATATTGTGGTTTGTCTTGTTTAAATATAACCAATGGATAATCGAAATACTATTTAACAATCTATCAACTGATTTGCTGAAAGCATTGACCTGACCAGAATCACAGCAAATGTTAGAATGATTTTCTTATTTTTGAGGCATCTCAAATGTGATTTTTAGAAGGTAAACTCCGGAAAACGGTTGTACAGTTAAGTAAAGATAATGTCTCTTCATGCCTATCGGCAAGAGGGCTCCTTTGTTTCATTTTTTGTTATTTATTTATTACGTAAACGGGACAAAATATACCATCATATTTACGAATTAAACTGTATTCTGTTCAGAAGAAGGAAGGTAAAAACACACGTGGTAAAATCTGGTAAAAGATTCAATATGCAAAACATTCCTTACACTACGGAAACAGCTGTATCGACCTTCTGAGATAAAAAAATAAATAGTATCTATATCTTTTGTCCATCACCCCATCTATCTTTTGTCCATCATCCCATCTATCTTTTGTTCATCATCCTATCTATCTATTGTCTATCATCCCATCTATCTTTTGTTCATCACCCCATCTATATCTTTTGTCCATCATCCCATCTATATCTTTTGTCTATCCCCCCATCTATATCTTTTGCCCATCACCCCATCTATATCTTTTGTCCATCACCCCATCTATATATTTTGTCCATCATCCCATCTATATCTTTTGTCCATCGCCCCATCTATCTATATATTTTGTCCATCACCCCATCTATATCTTTTGTCCATCACCCCATCTATCTTTTGTCCATCACCCCATCTATATATTTTGTCCATCACCCCATCTAAATCTTTTGTCCATCACCCCATCTATGTCTTTTGTCCATCACCCCATCTATATCTTGTGTCAATCACCCCATCTATCTTTTGTCCATCACCCCATCTAAATCTTTTGTCCATCACCCCATCTATATCTTTTGTCCATCACCCAATCTATATCTTTTGTCCATCACCCCATCTATATCTTTTGTCCATCACCCTATCTATATCTTGTGTCCATCACCTCATCTATCTTTTTTCCATCACCCCATCTATATCTTTTGTTCATCACCCCATCTATCTTTTTTCCATCACCCCATCTATATCTTTTGTCCATCAACCCATCTATATCTTTTGTCCATCACCCTATCTATATCTTTTGTCCATCACCCCATCTATATCTATTGTCCATCATCCCATCTATCTTTTGTCCATCACCCCATCTATATCTTTTGTCCATCACCCATCTATATCTTTTGTCCATTACCCCATCTAAATCTTTTGTCCATCACCCCGTCTATATCTTTTGTCCATCACCCCATCTACATCTTGTGTCCATCACCCCATCTATCTTTTGTCCATCACCCCATCTATCTCTGGTCGATCACCCCATCTATATCTTTTGTCCATCATCCCATCTATATCTTTTGTCCATCACCCCATCTATATATTTTGTCCATCCCCCCATCTAAATCTTTTGTCCATCACCCCATCTTTATCTTTTGTCCATCGCCCCATCTATATCTTTTGTCCATCACCCCATCTATCTTTCGTCCATCACCCCATCTATATCTTTTGTCCATCACCCCTCTATATCTTTTGTCCATTACCCCATCTAAATCTTTTGTCCATCTCCCCGTCTATATCTTTTGTCCATCACCCCATCTACATCTTGTGTCCATCACCCCATCTATCTTTTGTCCATCACCCCATATATCTCTGGTCGATCACCCCATCTATATCTTTTGTCCATCATCCCATCTATATCTTTTGTCCATCACCCCATCTATGTCTTTTGTCCATCACCCCATCTATATCGTGTGTCAATCACCCCATCTATCTTTTGTCCATCACCCCATCTAAATCTTTTGTCCATCACCCCATCTTTATCTTTTGTCCATCACCCCATCTATATATTTTGTCCATCACCCCATCTATATCTTGTGGCCATCACCCCATCTATCTTTTGTCCATCATCCCATCTATCTTTTGTCCATCACCCCATCTATCTCTGGTCCTTCACCCCATCTATATCTTTTGTCCATCACCCCATCTATATCTTTTGTCAATCACCCCATCTATATCTTTTGTCCATCACCCAATCTATATCTTTTGTCTATCACCCCATCTATCTTTTGTACATCACCCCATCTATATCTTTTGTCCATCGCCCCATCTATCTATATATTTTGTCCATCACCCCATCTATATCTTTTGTCCATCATCCCATCTATATCTTTTGTCAATCCCCCCATCTATATCTTTTGTCCATCACCCTATCTATATCTTTTGTCCATCGCCCCATCTATCTATATATTTTGTCCATCACCCCATCTATATCTTTTGTCAATCCCCCCATCTATATCTTTTGTCCATCACCCTATCTATATATTTTGTACATCACCCCATCTATATCTTTTGTCCATCGCCCCATCTAAATCTTTTGTCCATCACCCCATCTATATCTTTTATCAATCACCCCATCTATATCTTTTGTCCATCACCCCATCTATATCTTTATTCCATCACCCCATCTATCTTTTTTCCATCACCCCATCTATATCTTTTGTTCATCACCCCATCTATCTTTTTTCCATCACGCCATCTATATCTTTTTTCCATCACCCCATCTATTATCTTTTGTCCATCACCCCATCTATCTCTTGTCCATCACCCCATCTATATCCTTTGTCCATCACCCCATCTATATCTATTGTCCATCGCCCCATCTATCTCTTGTCCATCACCCCTTCTATATCTTTTGTCCATCACCCCGTCTATATCTTTTGTCCATCACCCCATCTATATCTATTGTCCATCACCCCATCTATCTCTTGTCCATCACCCCTTCTATATCTTTTGTCCATCACCCCATCTATATCTCTTTTCCATCACCCCATCTATATCTTTTTTCCATCACCCCATCTATATCTTTTGCCCATCACGCCATTTTTATCTATTGTCCATCATCCCATCTATCTTTTGTCCATCCCCACATCTTTATCTTTTGTCCATCAACCCATCTATCTTTTGTTCATCATCCCATCTATCTTTTGTCCATCAACCCATCTATCTTTTGTCCATCACCCCATCTATATATTTTGTCCATCACCCCATCTATCTCTTGTCCATCACCCCATCTATATCTTTTGTCCATCACCCCATCTATATCTTTTGTCCATCATCCCATCTTTATCTTTTGTCCATCACCCCATCTATCTTTTGTCCATCACCCCATCTATATTTTTTGTCCATCACCCCATCTATATCTTTTGTCAATCACCCCATTTATATCTTTTGTCCATCACCCCATCTATATCTTTTGTCCATCACCCCATCTATATCTTTTGTCCATCACCCCATCTATATCTTTTGTCCATCACCCCATCTATATCTTTTGTCCATCACCCCATTTATTTCTTTTGTCCATCACCCCATCTAAATCTTTTGTCCATCACCCCATCTAAATCTTTTGTTCATCACCCCATCTATGTCTTTTGTCCATCACCCCATCTATCTTTTGTCCATCACCCTATCTATATCTTTTGTCCATCATCCCATCTATCTTTTTTCCATCACCCCATCTATATCTTTTGTCCATCACCCCATCTATATCTTTTGTCCATCGCCCCATCTATATCTTTTGTCCATCACCCCATCTATATATTTTGTACATCACCCCATCTATCTTTTGTCCATCATCCCATCTATCTTTTGTTCATCATCCCATCTATATCTTTTGTCCATCACCCCATCTAAATCTTTTGTCCATCACCCCATCTATATCTTTTGTCCATCACGTTTTTTGTCTTCTTGATGGAGGAAGTCATAATAAACAATGGCTATACAAAAACCATCCTCGATATCCAGGGGTTACTCTCTCTTTCGCTCTCAGCACCCCTGAAATATGTCATAACAAAGCAGAAGTCTCAGTGTGCGCCACATTGTTGATGAGACAAGAAGACTAGTTTGATCCTTTGATATACATCAAAAGAATCTTGCGGTCACATAACGGTAAAAATTGACAGGCTTTGAAGTCAGGCGTCTCTCCTTTGTAATCTTCAAAGGACAGGTATCAGCCTAGCGATTGGTCAGGGTTGTTTTTACTTGAGACCAATCAAACAGATAATGTCCTGCCTTCAATTGCTGACATATTCCAGGGGTGCAGAGAGCGAAAGTGAGCGTAACCCCTGGATATTGAGGATGTACATAAACATTTTCAACTGTAACATTGTAGCGTGACAATATGTGGAAGAGAAAAACGTGTATAAAATCGACTCATTACTTGTTTAAACTACTATATACTCATATGGCCCTTGCATATAAGCAACAATGTAATTTTTAAGATTACAGTGACCATAGACGATAGCCATGCCTAATAAGCTTTTAGTTTAGCAATGTAAATACTCCACTGTAAAGCAATTGAAAATATTTTTTGCATCAATATTTTTTTGCTAAGTGCTGCTCTCATTTTCGACCAGGACCCAAATAGAAAATAACGATATTGAAAGGCAAGTCAGTACTGTATCTGAAGTGAGCATTTATTTCATAAAAGTCACATTTACTAACTGCACCATTTTACATCTTTCTTAAAAAACAAGGAACAGCTTACAGGTACATATTACTCATAGAGTCTCACTATCTTTCTTCACCATCAGCTATATATTCACTGTGCAGTGTTTATTATTCAATCACATAAGCTCTATTCTTCACCAAATACAAGTACATACTAATAACTTTCTCACTATCTTTCTTCACCATCAGCTTATATTCACTGTCCAGGGTTTATTATTCAATCACACAAGCTCTATTCTTCACCAAATACAAGTACATACTAATAACTTTCTCACTATCTTTCTTCACCATCAGCTTATATTCACTGTCCAGGGTTTATTATTCAATCACACAAGCTCTATTCTTCACCAAATACAAGTACATACTAATAATTTTCTCACTATCTTTCTTCACCATCAGCTATATATTCACTGTGCGGTGTTTATTATTCAATCACATAAGCTCTATTCTTCACCAAATACAAGTACATACTAATGACTTTCTCACTATCTTTCTTCACCATCAGATTATATTCACTGTACAGTGTTTATTATTCAATCACACAAGCTCTATTCTTCACCAAATACAAGTACATACTCATAACTTTCTCACTATCTTTCTTCACCATCAGCTATATATTCACTGTGCGGTGTTTATTATTCAATCACATAAGCTCTATTCTTCACCAAATACAAGTACATACTAATAACTTTCTCTCTAACTTTCTTCACCATCAGCTCTATATACACTGTACAGAATATATTATTCAATCACATAAGCTCTATTCTTCACCAAATACAAGTACATACTAATAACTTTCTCACTATCTTTCTTCGCCATCAGCTATATATTCTCTGTACAGTGTTTATTATTCAAGCACACAAGCTCTATTCTTCACCAAATACAAGAACATACTAATAACTTTCTCACTATCTTTCTTCGCCATCAGCTATATATTCTCTGTACAGTGTTTATTATTCAAGCACACAAGCTCTATTCTTCACCAAATACAAGTACATACTAATGACTTTCTCACTATCTTTCTTCACCATCAGCTTATATTCACTGTACAGTGTTTATTATTCAATCACACAAGCTCTATTGTTTACCAAATTCTTTACCAAATACAAGTACATGTATTAAGAACTTCCTCACAAACTTTCTTCACCATTGAATTACTTTCACACTTCAAAATTTCATTACACATATCTAACATATGTAATTTTCACAAGATTTAATGTATTTTTACTTCATCTTTTAAAAAAAAGTATTATTAGCCTAGTAGAGCTACTGTCCCACTTACAAAGAACATACTTTGATTCCATTTTTTCCAAACTTTATTCAAAGTAAAGTTGATACTTTTTACTCAGTGTTTCCCACAGGAGTTTTTCACTATAAATCACATAACAAAAGTGTATTTCCTTATCATGCATGAATGTAAACTAAAAACCTTTTCTCTGCACATCAAACCAAGTTTTATCCACAAAAATGTGAAAAAAACTCCATATCATATCTCACAAGTTGAATTCTATTATTTTTACAAAATATATTCATCACTAACAGGACTAACTATTACTGAACAATATTTACCACAGCTCAACCTTTCACCAGGTTTGCCCTCAATAAGAAGATTGTTTTTATTCTGGTGGTGTTAAGGAGTAAACAGCATCCTATACAAATTGTAATGCCCATGTGATGAGTAAAACAAACATGGAGTATATATATAGATTTTACCTGTGAAGATCAAATAATTGACACAACGAACACGTGCTGCTGTAACACAGCAATCATTATCACAGTCAGATTCGTAGATAAACCTATGTTTCCATGATAAACTCTCTCGTCAGTATGGTCCATATTACCCTAACCATCAAGGAAGTGTTTAATATACTGTTCTTACTTGTAGTAACATTAGTACACAACACTCAATACACTGTGTGTCACAGCCTCCTTAATACCTATTGCACATGTCCTTCAGGCCTCTTAAATAAACTGAACTTATTGACAGCACTTCATGGAAAAGCAGAATATACATAAAAGTTGTTTGGACATTTCAAGCCATCGAGGTCATTGTCCTGATCACATGGGGCTTTTATTACAACCATACATCTGGTTTCAGGCTCTAGATGAATCTGTCCCACAAACCCTTGATGACAATTTGCTATCCTCATTTCCAGATTTCTATGACACTTTGCCGATGTGATTTCCCTATTTCCAGACTTTGACGACTCCGTCTCGTGAAGCTGTGATGACGAGACACTGAGAGGTCTGACAAAGATTGATGTCACTGATGATGTCATGGTGGCCTTGTGACGGGGCCTCCGGACCACGTCGGGGAATGTCATCGTTACTCACCTGCTTCTTAGTGTAGGTTTCCTGTATTACCTCCGTACCGTCTATTAACCTTGATCTGAAATATATGATAACATTATAGAATATATTTATCTTAATTTATTTCAGGTCAAAATGTTATTCATGACTGTAGTAACAATTTTTTTCCATATCAAATATCTGGGGGGGTAATTCTTCTGAATGAATTTATATATTAAAGTACTACAAAACCTGATAACTATAATTATCTTACACATTTGTATTTAAAAAAGAAACTATTTATTTTGCAACAATAGTTAACAAGATTTATCAAGTTATATTTACATTTGTCCCCGCGACGTCCAATTACAACAGTGTTAGAGGGCAAGTGTAATTATATAACCTATAATTACAACTGCTCGACTATAATTACAACTGCCTGTTTCAGGTGTAGGAATATGTAAACAAACAAAATGGCCGCCTGAAATGTATTTTGAGGCAGGGCAAATGGTTTTTGTAGGAATATGTCTTAAAAAAGAAAAATATGTAAATATAAAAAATACCTGGTTGTCTGGATGTAATTATTGTTGATATAATTACAAGTGGCCTCTGACAAATCTACCATAAAACCCTAGCAGGCTAGGGTTTTATGGTAGATTTGTCAGAGGCCACTTGTAATTATATCAACAATAATTACATCCAGACAACCAGTTATTGTTTAAATATTTATCACTCTTGTTGATCCAGATGAAAGGATGGAGGGGGTATACGTAGGTGAGAGGAAAACAGAGTTTGCAGAGAAAACTCATGTGGTTGGGCGGGTGACCCATTTCTTCACACTTTTTCTCAGGGAAAGAATCCTTCTCAGGATAAGGAACCCCAGTGATCGATCTGTGTGAACAGCAAGTCAGGAAGTGTACTTTCCACCTCACCAGCAGACAACCCATAGACAATAACTAAATCGGTGTTACAGTGCTATCAGAGATATTTGACCCTGATGGATCGGGTTCCATTGCAGTATGCTGACTGCTGACTTTAGACTGCTATCTACAATAATATTTACCGGTAGCTGGCCCCTGTGTGCTGGTTGTCGCCTGCCGCGGAGGCTAGTATGAAGGAGTTGGCCGGGTATGTGATGTCCCAGAAGCGTGCCCTCATGTCTGAACCACCAGTCAACATAAACACATTGTTGTCGGTCACGGCCATGTGCATACCGTAGATGGAATGACTACTAGTCTGTGGGAATAATCAGACAGATTTGTATTATATCACATAAATCAAGTGAAATGTAGAGAATACTCCTGTTTTATTCTGAGAAGTAAAAATTTCTGTGATGCAGAAATGTTAATTGTTTTTTGCATTGAGTAAATTAACGAACATATATGTTTAGATTATATAGATTATAAATATATGCGAACACACAAATTTCCACACCACCATCCATTTAAAAGAGTCATAACATAAATATTTACATATGCGAAAAATTTCCACTATCATATATAGTATTCTATTCTGCAGAATGTTTCTCCTTTATTTCTGGAATGTGATATGAATGATGTTGAATAAGATTCCACTTCATAAGAGGTTTATAAAACTTGTTGAAATTTCAGTTTGCCAAAAGCTTCCACAAAGTAAAATTTCAAAATAAAATTCAAAGGTAGAGACAGGTTATTAGTGGTGACTTTTTCGATAAAGAAGAAGTTAGTTGTACCTGGTTTTGAGAGAGAGGAGGAGCCGTGCTGGCCCAGAGGGCCTTTTGTCTGGCACCTGTCTCCACGTCCCACATGGACACCTCGTTGTTGCCTTGAGTGGCAGATATGATCCAGGACTGTTCTTTGGGGTGGACGATAAGTTTGCGGACTCGGGCCCCAGTGGGATGAGTGATAGATGTTATGGGGAGCTGGAACCTCAGATCCCAGCACACATGTGTGCCACTACTAGTCCCCACAGCCAGCCAACATTGTGAGTGGTGTACCGCAAAGGATGAGATCAGACCTACAACAAGAATTCAATGTTAGGATTGTGTCAATATGCCAAAATACCTTATAATAATGCCCTTGTTTATCACTACACCATAAAACCCTTATACAATACCCCTGATTAATCACAGGAAAAACCTTGTTATAGTGTCCATTGTTATCCAGTGTTGATTGAAACTTTGTTATATATAAGAGCCCATGATTTCACTAGCCACCTCGATAATAGTAGCGTGTTTCTTGGTGTGCTTACCTTAATTTCTGTTAATAATGAATTACAGGTCTTCCTTGATATTTTACTTTCTATTTATAATGAATTACAGGTCTTCCTTGATATTCTATTTAAAGACATACAGTTGCAACATAACAGCATGTTTACAACCAAAGTCATGATACATGTGTACTAGTATTGGTTTATAAATAATAAATAGTATTACATTTATTTGCTGGGCATCTCATAACAAGAGGCCCATGGGCCTTAATGGTCACCTGATATATTTAAACAGACAGTTGATTTTGTTTTTAACACGAACAGAAATATTATTCAGTGACAAAAAATCAATAAAACCACCTTATTCAATATCTAGCATACAGATTTAAGACTAAAAAGTATTTGATACTAGCACCTCTGATTCTAAACAAGGAAAATGAAGAAATTTTAGCACACTGACTCCTTTGGGCCACACCCTACAGCCCTTGGAGGTAGGGCTGGCTCAAAATTTTCAAAGTATCAAACTGTCAACTCAGGGTTTTTAATTATAGCGTTAAATTATTTAAAAAAATAAATCAACACACAAAGATTAAGAGGAAAGAAAAGCAATAACTGACAGTACCAGACAGGTGACCTACCTGTTTTATGGCAATGACTGACTGTACCAGACAGGTGGCCTACCTGTTTTAGGGCAATGACTGACTGTATCAGACAGGTGACCTACCTGTTTTAGGGTCGTTCTTTAGTCGCCACACCTCCTCATTACAGCGGAGGTCCCAGCCAATCAGGTAGCCATTAACGGTGGCATAGGCCAAAACAGACTGGGCACCTAAAACAAAATAGGGCAAAATGGAAATAAGAAACTAGCAGATTATCTCCCCTTATCAATCAAATATTAATGTTTTTTTACTGTCGGAGTACGTAGTGAGATTTCCATACTTGCTATATTTACCGCTAGCCACCCACTGATTGTTTGAGTAGTGTTATTTATTGCTGATATTTGATAAAACTATCAAATTTAAATGTAAACTATGTGAGGATATCATTTATTTTTTTCATGCCAAAATACTTTATATTAGTAGATCTTGGGACAAAAACAATAAGGTTAACTGACCGGTATCAAAGTGTGTGATGTCCACTACTATATTAGTAGATCTTGGGACAATAACAGGCTATAAGGTTAACTGACCGGTATCAAAGTGTGTGATGTCCACTACTTGTCCGAAGTCCTCCTTGCTGACTGCGATGTCATGTATCAGATTTGCCTTCCCCGTTTCAATTCTGCAATATCCCACAAATATAAAGAGCAAATCAGAACAAATCCTCTGAAATTAAACCCGAGGAACATAACTCCTGTATACGATTATTTCTGGTACTGTATTATTTTTGTTAATATCATTTTTCCAATTTATAAGACAAAGTGGATTTGGTCCAATTACCTTAGATCTTACTGATCAGTAGATACATAGGCTGTATCACAATTATTGAAGTAACCTTAGAAAAATCATTCTTTTATGAATATATAGAAGGATGTTTCAAGATTTAATTGACTTCCATATAATGAAAAAAATCTTACCTATAAACGTATATAGTTCCGTTGTCTGAGGCAGAGGCGAGGGACAAAGAGCCTTCACAAAACACTAAACTCTTTATGTGGCCACCTGACAAACAATGATTAGCATAGACTTAGTATAACCTAAACTCTTTATGTGGCCACCTGACAAACAATGATTAGCATAGACTTAGTAGTATGTGACACGGACATTAAGTTCTCTGTGGCACCTATGTTTTGCTGAGATTCTATAATTTGTAGAGAGTTCATACTTTGTTTAGAGTTAACACGTTATTTGATGAAAGTATATCCCTTCTTAAGTGTTCATACTTGGGAGGGAGTGTACATGTTGTTGTTAATACCTTGCTTGTTGAGAGTCTGTTTGGACCTGTCGTTAAGGGTTAATACCTTGCTTGTTGTGAGTCTGTTGGGACCTGTTGTTAAGTGTTAGTACCTTGCTTGTTGAGAGTCGGTTTGGACCTGTTGTTATGTCTGACAAACAATGATTAGCATAGACTTAGTAGTATGAGACACGGACATTAAGTTCTCTGTGGCACCTATGTTTTGCTGAGATTCTATAATTTGTAGAGAGTTCATACTTTGTTTAGAGTTAACACGTTATTTGATGAAAGTATATCCCTTCTTAAGTGTTCATACTTGGGAGGGGGTGTACATGTTGTTGTTAATCCCTTGCTTGTTGAGAGTCTATTTGGCCCTGTTGTTAAGTTTTAATACCTTGCTTGTTGAGAGTCTATTTGGCCCTGTTGTTAAGTGTTAATACCTTACTTGTTGAGAGTCTGTTTGCACCTGTTGTTAATTGTTAATACCTTGCTTGTTGTGAGTCTGTTGGGACCTGTTGTTAAGTGTTAGTACCTTGCTTGTTGAGAGTGTGTTTGGACCTGTTGTTAAGGGTTAATACCTTGCTTGTTGTGAGCCTGTTTGGACCTGTTGTTATGTGTTAATACCTTGCTTGTTGGGAGTCTGTTTGGACCTATTGTTAAGTGTTAATACCTTGTTTGTTGAGAGTCTGTTTGGCCCTGTCGTTAAGTGTTAATTCCTTGCTTGTTGAGAGTCTTTTTGGACCTGTCGTTAAGTGTAAATACCTTGCTTGTTGAGAGTTTGTTTGGACCTGTTGTTAAGGGTTAATACCTTCTTTGTTGAGAGTCCGTTTGGACCTGTTGTTAAGTTTTAATACCTTCTTTGTTGAGAGTCTGTTTGGCCCTGTTGTTAAGTGTTAATAACTTACTTGTTGAGAGTCTGTTTGTACCTGTTGTTAAGTGTTAATAACTTACTTGTTGAGAGTCTGTTTGTACCTGTTGTTAAGTGTTAACACTAAACTCTTTATGTGGCCTCATGACAAACAATGATTAGCATAGACTTAGTATAACCTAAACTCTTTATGTGGCCACCTGACAAAAAATGATTAGCATAGACTTAGTATAACCTAAACTCTTTATGTGGCCACCTGACAAAAAATGATTAGCATAGACTTAGTATACACTAAACTCTTTATGTGGCCACCTGACAAAAAATGATTAGCATAGACTTAGTATAACCTAAACTCTTTATGTGGCCACCTGACAAAAAATGATTAGCATAGACTTAGTAGTATGAGACACGGACATTAAGTTCTCTGTGTCACCTATGTTTTGCTGAGATTCTATAATTTGTAGAGAGTTCATCCTTTGTTTAGAGTTAACACGTTATTTGATGAAAGTATATCCCTTCTTAAGTATTCATACTTGGGAGGGAGTGTCCATGTTGTTGTTAATACCTTGCTTGTTGTGAGTCTGTTGGGACCTGTTGTTAAGTGTTAACCCCTTGCTTGTTGAGAGTCTGTTTGTACCTGTTGTTAAGGGTTAATACCTTGCTTGTTGTGAGTCTGTTTGGACCTGTTTTGAATTGTTAATACCTTGCTTGTTGGGAGTCTGTTTGGACCTATTGTTAAGTGTTAATACCTTAATTGTTGAGAGTCTGTTTGGGCCTGTTGTTAAGTGTTAATACCTTGTTTGTTGAGAGTCTGTTTGGCCCTGTTGTTAAGTTTTAATACCTTGCTTGTTGAGTGTCGGTTTGGACCTGTTGTTAAGGGTTAATACCTTGCTTGTTGTGAGTCTGTTGGGACCTGTTGTTAAGTGTTAACCCCTTGCTTGTTGAGAGTCTTTTTGGACCTGTCGTTAAGTGTTAATTCCTTGCTTGTTGAGTGTCGGTTTGCACCTGTTGTTATGTGTTAATACCATGCTTGTTAAGAGTCTGTTTGGACCTGTGACAAACAATGATTAGCATAGACTTAGTAGTATGTGACACGGACATTAAGTTCTCTGTGTCACCTATGTTTTGCTGAGATTCTATAATTTGTAGAGAGTTCATCCTTTGTTTAGAGTTAACACGTTATTTGATGAAAGTATATCCCTTCTTAAGTATTCATACTTGGGAGGGAGTGTCCATGTTGTTGTTAATACCTTGCTTGTTGTGAGTCTGTTGGGACCTGTTGTTAAGTGTTAGTACCTTGCTTGTTGAGAGTCTTTTTGGACCTGTCGTTAAGTGTTAATTCCTTGCTTGTTGAGAGTCTATTTGGACCTGTCGTTAAGTGTAAATACCTTGCTTGTTGAGAGTCGGTTTGGACCTGTTGTTATGTGGTAATACCTTGCTTGTTAAGAGTCTGTTTGGACCTGTTTTGAATTGTTAATACCTTGCTTGTTGGGAGTCTGTTTGGACCTATTGTTAAGTGTTAATACCTTAATTGTTGAGAGTCTGTTTGGACCTATCGTTAAGTGTTAATACCTTGGTTGTTGAGAGTCTGTTTGGGCCTGTTGTTAAGTGTTAATACCTTGGTTGTTGAGAGTCTGTTTGGTCCTGTCGTTAAGTGTTAATACTTTCTTTGTTGAGAGTCTGTTTGGGACTGTTGTTGAGTGTTAATACCTTGCTTGTTGGGAGTCTGTTTGGACCTATTGTTAAGTGTTAATACCTTAATTGTTGAGAGTCTGTTTGGCCCTGTCGTTAAGTGTTAATACCTTGGTTGTTGAGAGTCTGTTTGGTCCTGTCGTTAAGTGTTAATTCCTTGCTTGTTGAGAGTCTGTTTGTACCTGTTGTTAAGTGTTAATAACTTGCTTGTTGAGAGTCTGTTTGTACCTGTTGTTAAGTGTTAACCCCTTGCTTGTTGAGAGTCTATTTGGACCTGTTGTTAAGTGTTAACACTAAACTCTTTATGTGGCCTCATGACAAACAATGATTAGCATAGACTTAGTAGTATGTGACACGGACATTAAGTTCTCTGTGGCACCTATGTTTTGCTGACATTCTATAATTTGTAGAGAGTTCATCCTTTGTTTAGAGTTAACACGTTATTTGATGAAAGTATATCCCTTCTTAAGTATTCATACTTGGGAGGGAGTGTCCATGTTGTTGTTAATACCTTGCTTGTTGGGAGTCTGTTTGGACCTATTGTTAAGTGTTAATACCTTACTTGTTGAGAGTCTGTTTGTACCTGTTGTTAAGGGTTAATACCTTGCTTGTTGGGAGTCTGTTTGGACCTATTGTTAAGTGTTAATACCTTTTTTGTTTAGAGTCTGTTTGGACCTGTCGTTAAGGGTTAATACCTTGCTTGTTGAGGGTCGGTTTGGACCTGTTGTTAAGCGTTAATACCTTGCTTGTTGAGAGTGTGTTTGGACCTGTTGTTAAGTGTTAATACCTTGCTTGTTGAGTGTCGGTTTGGACCTGTTGTTATGTGTTAATACCTTGCTTGTTAAGAGTCTGTTTGGACCTGTTGTTAAGTGTTAATACCTTGCTTGTTGAGAGTCTGTTTGGACCTGTTGTTAAGTGTTAATACCTTGCTTGTTGAGAGTCTGTTTGGACCTGTTGTTAAGTGTTAATACCTTGCTTGTTGAGAGTCTGTTTGGACCTGTTGTTAAGTGTTAATACCTTGCTTGTTGAGAGTCTGTTTGGACCTGTTGTTAAGTGTTAATACCTTGCTTGTTGAGAGTCTGTTTGGACCTGTTGTTAAGTGTTAATACCTTGCTTGTTGAGAGTCTGTTTGGACCTGTTGTTAAGTGTTAATACCTTGCTTGTTGAGAGTCTGTTTGGACCTGTTGTTAAGTGTTAATACCTTGCTTGTTGAGAGTCTGTTTGGACCTGTTGTTAAGTGTTAATACCTTGCTTGTTGAGAGTCTGTTTGGACCTGTTGTTAAGTGTTAATACCTTGCTTGTTGAGAGTCTGTTTGGACCTGTTGTTAAGTGTTAATACCTTGCTTGTTGAGAGTCTGTTTGGACCTGTTGTTAAGTGTTAATACCTTGCTTGTTGAGAGTCTGTTTGGACCTGTTGTTAAGTGTTAATACCTTGCTTGTTGAGAGTCTGTTTGGACCTGTTGTTAAGTGTTAATACCTTGCTTGTTGAGAGTCTGTTTGGACCTGTTGTTAAGTGTTAATACCTTGCTTGTTGAGAGTCTGTTTGGACCTGTTGTTAAGTGTTAATACCTTGCTTGTTGAGAGTCTGTTTGGACCTGTTGTTAAGTGTTAATACCTTGCTTGTTGAGAGTCTGTTTGGACCTGTTGTTAAGTGTTAATACCTTGCTTGTTGATTGTCTGTTTGGACCTGTTGTTAAGTGTTAATACCTTGCTTGTTGAGAGTCTGTTTGGACCTGTTGTTAAGTGTTAACCCCTTGCTTGTTGAGAGTCTGTTTGGACCTGTCGTTAAGTGTTAATACCTTGCTTGTTGAGAGTCTGTTTGGACCTGTCATTAAGTGTTAATACCTTGCTTGTTGAGAGTCTGTTTGGACCTGTTCGCCACACTTTTGCCTTCAAGTTTCTCACACTCCCAAATCTTCACATTCCCATCGTTTGATCCAGTAGCGAAGTATAGGTGGTCATGTGACACTTGTATCCTAGTAACATAGATAAACATTGACAAATAGGAATTATAGCAGACATTGGTAGCATGTAGGGGTGTCATGATAAGGCTCACGTGTATCACAAAATAAATAAATACAACACAGAAGGAATGCACTGTCATATGGATCACAAAATACTGTCACAGCAGAATGTTGATTTTATCTAAAAATGCTATTTGACAAGAATGTCTTGAAAGAAACGCTCTCAAACTGACTCATAGATCTTAAGGATCATACAGGTTTAAGAATTCCGTTGAACCAATAATTGATTATGACATTTCAACTGATTCCCTCAACTACTTACAACCTGTTGGATGGTTATTAGTTTCATTTACACAAAGATAAGCTTTTCAAAACTATTGCGATATATAGCAGGATTCTATTTCCATATTGCGATGTGATACAACATCAACTTCACTAATTTCTTATTCTAAATCATAGCTTCATGGTAAGTTACCTTGTCCTTCAATAATGAAAGTCCATTCTACTTATATAGATATATATAATTAGTAGCCAATTCATCTTATTTACTGAATTTACATTTTTTATATATTAAAAGACAAAGTTTTCTGCAGGGATGACCTATGATTAATAAGAAATTTGATTTTAATAAAGTTAGAAGTGTAGTGAAATATTCATACAGTTTGAAAAAAAGAAATGTATGCAAAAGCAGGATCTGATTTAAAACTTAAAATTAAAGTGGGTTTTTTCAAAACTGAATCAGCCTTGTACATCTACCATGACCAGCGACAGACAGTTGTATGTAGTGACCTGTTGATAGCTGCTCTGTGTTCATGCATGTGAGCCACTAGGAGTCCCTTGGGTTTCCAGTTACTGGGTGGGGGTCGGCTCTCCCAGGCGATGTTCTCCAGCAGGTCCTTGGTCAGTACGTCTGCAGAGTATTGGTCCCGTCGCTTGTGGACAAGGTTACGTAGGTCTAGCTTACATGGATGGTATCTCGCTGTGACAGAGAAAATAAAATTTTGACTATGGTAATTAAATAGTAACAGCAATTTAACTCCTACCATCAAGTAATCTAGGATGTTTCCCAATTTCAACCTTTGATGGTATCATTGTATTGTGTCAGAGAGAAATATATTATAGATTCTTATATGACTCAAATTCCTCAAAGGGGATGAGACATCTGCCCTTGTCAAAACAATAGGTCGTTTAGCGATACTATTCTAGATTAAAATATTTACACAACTGTACTGTACTATATACATCAGAGTATGGCTGTTAGTGTTCACAAACCCTACACCCAATGGTGTAACTGTAACAATGCTTTACATATCAAAGTATACCTAGTAAGTATTTGAAACTAAACTAAACAGTGAATTTAGAGTTTGGTATAAACCTGTGTAATTATTACTGGCAACCACTTACTATCCCTCAGGCTACACAAGTAAGAATCTTACTCTATTGAGATTCATCAACAGATATGTGATACTATTAAACTCATTTACGCTCACTTTCGCTCTCTGCACCCCTGGAATATGTCATAGCAAAATTGAAGGCACGAAGATAACTGTTTGATTGGTCTCAGGTAAAAAAAAATGACCAATCGATAGGCTGATACCTGTCCTTTGAAGATTACAAAGGAGAGACGCCTGACTTCAAAGCCTGTCAATTTTTACCGTTATGTGACCGCGAGATTCTTTTTATGTTCATCAAAGGATCAAACTAGTCTTCTCATCTTACCTTCAAGGTGCTGCACACTGAGCCTTCAATTTTGCTATGACATATTCCAGGGGTGTAGAGAGCGAAAATGAGCGTAAACCCTGGATATTGAGGATGAACTGACAACTAAATATGTATTTAGCAATTATTGTTTGAAATATTTGAAAGAGGTAAAACTGATTTCACTTACTATAGGCGCTTTTCTCTGGGTTTTGTGACATTGTTGATTTGGACGAGTCTGACAGGGTTACCTGCCCTGGTGACATGGTAACAAAGCTACCAGAGGAGGAGGAAGATGATTGGCTGATACCACTCGCTGTAAGTACAGACCGCTTGTCCTGGGTTTCGTACTTCATGGACGATTTCAGCTTTGGAGAAGAGCTTGGTGACATTGCAGAATCGTTGGAACCAAACATGCTCTTCCACTCAGCATTCTGGAATAATTTTTTTCAAATTCAAAGAATTCTATTAAAATTGACCAAAGTTAGCATTAGTGTCTTGTAGTATAGGTAGATTGCCATCCTTTCCATTCTTTAAGAAAACAATTATTATGAACAATCTTTTAAGATATGATTGTTTTTTTGGTGCAGAATTTGACATTCTTCGCCTCCTACAAAATGCTTGCCCTAGAATTAAGATTTCTCTATCTTAATTACATCACTGTGATGAAGAATTATATTTTTAAGTATCTATGTTACCTGAAACATAATGTCTGATTTTTGTTTGAGTTACCTCCCTTCAAAACTTTTAAGGCTCTGTGTTGCATATACAACGAAGAAAAGTTTCAATTTGTTTGTCATTTTTCTGTCATTGAGTTGCTTAAGCAGCTCATTTTACTATAAGCGAAAGTTCTATTTGAATGTTATTTAGTCATTTTTATCTCCCTTTTCACAAAACACCTCCTCTACTTTGATTCCAATCCTGGACCTCCTGAATAAGCAGGGAGTTTATCCAATTTTCTAACGGACATATTTTTCTGTCAGTGCGGTCTGGCAATATCACTGGAAATCATTTCAAAACATTCTTACTCTGTATAAAGGCAAGCAACTTATAATGTTCTGATCATTGAGGAAATGACATAAACTTACAGGAAAATAACTGTCTGTTTACTGTAGAGAAGTAGTGGGACTCTCTACTTTTACTTCAAAGCACTTTGTTACCATTCCGAACTAGTGTTTTCAATTTGTTTTGTACCACAAAAAAGTCTGTTCAGAGATGTATTATATTACATACATTATTTTGTACCTAAACTGTAAGTCTCCACAGCAAATTAATCAATTCATACACATTATTTTCTACCTTAAAAATAAGACTCAGCAATTCTGTACACTTTCATCTGAAGTTCAAAGTTAAAGAACCAGTTACTCACCATGGCAACAGATGGTTCAACTGCTGGGATCTTTTTCTTCCTTCTACAAAATTAAAAAAAAAAATCAGTTTCAATTTAATGTGAAGGTCAAGCTTTCCATTGTTGTTAATAACATTTACCCTCCTAATTACCAATATTTGTACAATATTTTCCTCAATTCAAGTTCCATTGTATCATATATCATTCCTTGAACCAGAAGAGTGAGATTAGCAATTTCTGCATGCAAATAATGACAGACTATGAAAAAACCACCAATTCCAGTAAGATGTTAAATGTTGATACCTTCACACCATAACTTCCTCTGATTTCTATCACTTCTACGTGTGTCTTGTCTACATACCTTGGAGGTGTTGCAGGATTGTCTCCCTTGTTTTCCTTCGGTTTGAGTAGGTCAGCGTGTCTGCGAGTAATACTCCTCCCCATACCCACTATAGATAACCTTCCGGACTTAAAACCATCACTCGAATCATTGGAACTACTATTTTCTGACGTTCTAAGAAAGAAACAAACATTGAATACACTGAGGACATTTCCTGTTTCTTCAATACCAGTTACATTTCAAGTGAGCAAACTCAGCACTGCCCAAATTTGTGTGTAATGATTAGTTTTCCTTTATGCTGACTGTACACAAAATCTCTTAACACTAGTTATCCCATTGTTTAGACATTTTTGTTTTGTTTTTTTCTTTTCTTTCACTTTTCTAAATGTTCCCTGTGAGTAATACTAGACCCATATTAATTCATGTAACCGTTTTCATGCTCAAACTCAAATTTTGTGCTCAAGCCACATTTCTTGTTCTGTTGATTATATGATAAATAAAATCATGTTTCCCCTGTGATGGAAGGGATGTCTCATAAAGAACATTATTATTAGTATGAGATTTGTGAAGGAGATGTCACAAGGAGACCTACTTTTCTTGTATAGTGCTGTGGTTCTTAACTTGCATTGTAAACATTTTATGGATTTCCTACAGGAGAATTCCTTTTGAAAGAAGACACATGTTACAGTAAAGTATCTTAAATCCTTAATTTTTTTGGTACCTGATTTTCTACTATGCATTATCAACAGGAATAATTAGAACACAGTTTGGTTGATATGACACTCCCTGGATCAGATATGTGTGTTATGTTGAGTTGATATGACCCTCCCTGGATCAGCTATGTGTGTTATGTTTGGTTGATATGACACTCCCTGGATCAGATATGTGTGTTATGTTTGGTTGATATGACCCTCCCTGGATCAGATATGTGTGTTATGTTGTGTTGATATGACACTCCCTGGATCAGATATCTGTGATATGTTTGGTTGATATGACCCTCCCAAGATCAGATATGTGTGTTATGTTTGGTTGATATGACACTCCCTGGATCAGAAATCTGTGATATGTTTGGTTGATATGACACTCCCTGGATCAGATATGTGTGTTATGTTTGGTTGATATGGCACTCCCTGGATCAGATGTGTGTGTTATGGTTGGCTGATATGACACTCCCTGGATCAGATATGTGTGATATGTTTGGTTGATATGACCCTCCCTGGATCAGAAATCTGTGATATGTTTGGTTGATATGACCCTCCCTGGATCAGATATCTGTGTTATGTTTGGTTGATATGGCACTCCCTGGATGAGATATGTGTGTTATGTTTGGTTGATATGGCACTCCCTGGATCAGATATGTGGGTTATGTTTGGTTGATATGACACTCCCTGGATCAGAAATCTGTGATATTTTTGGTTGATATGACACTCCCTGGATCAGATATCTGTGTTATGTTGTGTTGATATGACACTCCCTGGATCAGATATGTGTGTTATGTTTGGTTGATATGACACTCCCTGGATCAGAAATCTGTGATATGTTTGGTTGATATGACTCTCCCTGGATCAGATATCTGTGTTATGTTTGGTTGATATGGCCCTCCCTGGATCAGATATGTGTGATATGTTTGGTTGATATGGGACTCCCTGGATCAGATATGTGTGATATGTTTGGTTGATATGGGACTCCCTGGATCAGATATGTGTGATATGTTTGGTTGATATGGCGCTCCCTGGATCAGATATGGGTGTTATGTTTGGTTGATATGACACTCCCTGGATCAGATATCTGTTTTATATTAACACTTTGTGGCATCAGAGTACTGAAACAATTAAATGTAAACAGGTGATTTCACTTACCCAGCTCTGGCCCGGTGTAGTTTCAAAATATACTCCTTCATAGCCTGAAAGTAAAAGGAAACGTAAAACAAAATGCTACAAACTGCTAATTGACAAGGCAGCCATTAATGCTACATACTGCTAATTGACAAGGCAGCCATTAATGCTAGATACTGCTAATTGACAAGGCAGCCATTAATGCTAGATACTGATAATTGACAAGGCAGCCATTAATGCTAGATACTGCTAATTGACAAGGCAGCCATTAATGCTACATACTGCAAATTGACAAGGCAACCATAAATGCTACTTACTGCTAATCGACAAGGCAGCCATTAATACCACATACTGCTAATTGACAAAGCAGCCATTAATGCTACATACTGCTAATTGATAAGGCAGCCATTAATGCTACATACTGCTAATTGACAAAGCAGCCATTAATGCTACATACTGCTAATTGATAAGGCAGCCATTAAATCTACATACTGCTAATTGAAAAGACAGCCATTAATGCTACATACTGCAAATTGACAAGGCAACCATAAATGCTACTTACTGCTAATCGACAAGGCAGCCATTAATACTACATACTGCTAATTGACAAAGCAGCCATTAATGCTACATACTGCTAATTGACAAGGCAGCCATTAATGCTACATACTGCTAATTGACAAGGCAGCCATTAATGCTACATACTGCTAATTGACAAGGCAGCCATTAATGCTACATACTGCTAATTGACAAGGCAGCCATTAATGCTACATACTGCTAATTGACAAGGCAGCCATTAATGCTACATACTGCTAATTGACAAGGCAGCCATTAATGCTACATACTGCTAATTGACAAGGCAGCCATTAATGCTACATACTGCTAATTGACAAGGCAGCCATTAATGCTACATACTGCTAATTGACAAGGCAGCCATTAATGCTACATACTGCTAATTGACAAGGCAGCCATTAATGCTACATACTGCTAATTGACAAGGCAGCCATTAATGCTACATACTGCTAATTGACAAGGCAGCCATTAATGCTACATACTGCTAATTGACAAGGCAGCCATTAATGCTACATACTGCTAATTGACAAGGCAGCCATTAATGCTACATACTGCTAATTGACAAGGCAGCCATTAATGCTACATACTGCTAATTGACAAGGCAGCCATTAATGCTACATACTGCTAATTGACAAGGCAGCCATTAATGCTACATACTGCTAATTGACAAGGCAGCCATTAATGCTACATACTGCTAATTGACAAGGCAGCCATTAATGCTACATACTGCTAATTGACAAGGCAGCCATTAATGCTACATACTGCTAATTGACAAGGCAGCCATTAATGCTACATACTGCTAATTGACAAGGCAGCCATTAATGCTACATACTGCTAATTGACAAGGCAGCCATTAATGCTACATACTGCTAATTGACAAGGCAGCCATTAATGCTACATACTGCTAATTGACAAGGCAGCCATTAATGCTACATACTGCTAATTGACAAGGCAGCCATTAATGCTACATACTGCTAATTGACAAGGCAGCCATTAATGCTACATACTGCTAATTGACAAGGCAGCCATTAATGCTACATACTGCTAATTGACAAGGCAGCCATTAATGCTACATACTGCTAATTGACAAGGCAGCCATTAATGCTACATACTGCTAATTGACAAGGCAGCCATTAATGCTACATACTGCTAATTGACAAGGCAGCCATTAATGCTACATACTGCTAATTGACAAGGCAGCCATTAATGCTACATACTGCTAATTGACAAGGCAGCCATTAATGCTACATACTGCTAATTGACAAGGCAGCCATTAATGCTACATACTGCTAATTGACAAGGCAGCCATTAATGCTACATACTGCTAATTGACAAGGCAGCCATTAATGCTACATACTGCTAATTGACAAGGCAACCATTAATGCTACATACTGCTAATCGACAAGGCAGCCATTAATGCTACATACTGCTAATTGACAAGGCAACCATTAATGCTACACAAAACCCTTATACATCTATGTACATAACAAAAGGAATGTCAACTACAATCATTTCAGAAAAGATTGTGAATGATAAAGTTAAATTTCATTCCTTTTTTTTTTTGATTTTGTTGTCAATAAATTGTTGTTTTCAATTTTCAACTGATTGGAAAAAAATTGTTATGAAAAGTATTTAAATTGATTTGATTATTTTTTCCAGTGCATCTCCTTTTTTTACTCTTATATTCCTTACTGTGTGTGATGGGATCATACTTTTTATATTTATTTATTCTAAAAGGGGGTAGATTAGCACAAGAGTAATACAGTATGACAGAGAAAACTTACAAATATTTTGTCTTCATGTGCTTCAGTCATACCAAATGATATCAGCTTCCTGAAAATCTACAACAAAAATACGGTGCTGCACTAAGACACTGTAGCTACAGATATCAAATATTTTCAAATCAGAGTAAAAACTAGATAAAAAAGGACAAATAAAAAAGCAGCATAATAATCTTGTATCACCCAAAACAAGAAAACATTTGGCTATGTGGCACCAAAGTTGTTTGTGATAGGGATGACCTCGTGGTTTGATGTTGCTTACTGATGAGCCTTCAAGTTAGACTAAATAAAACTTTGGGGCCTTCACTTTTCTTCAAAACACCTATAAATGTGTCACCAGTTAATAATTGAGTTCCTACAAACTGTTCTTGTTATCGACAACACATTAAATGTATGAGTGGTCAGACTCACCAGTGACATGGTTTCGTCCAGTTCAGGGTAGGACAGCTTGTGTCCATGTCTCCTCATGTACTGCCTCTTCTGGAGCATGTCAAACAGGCGTTCAAGTGTGTTAGATCTCAGCACATAGTCAAACACCGGTCTGGGCACGGGCTCAGACAGTGCATTTAACAGGTACATCTGAAAAACACACCAACAGGTATAAAGTATGTAGTCAAACACCGGTCTGGGCACGGGGTCAGACAGTGCATTTAACAGGTACATCTGATGTAAGATCTGACCATCCTAAACACAAATGAAAAGTCAAGTGATGGATTCTGTCAGGCAATTCATTAGGGTTTTATGATCACTGGTTATAAAATAAGATCATCAAAAGTTGAAATGCAAATTTCAGGTTGAGTGACCTAGTGTTGCAGGGTGTTTTATTAAAATACATCCAAAAAGTACACTACATGATATAAATTTGAATATGATTATCCTAAACGCAATTACCAGTATCAAATACAGTAAAGGAGTCATGAAGATTTTTCAAGCCTGAATATAACAAATACCTCATAAAGATATATTTACATTCGCATGGCATTGTCTCTGGAGCACCTACTTGAAAGCTGTGTCGTTGATGGGACTTCACATGACATGCACAACAAGACACAATTCTTAGGCAATCAGCATGCGACAATAAGCTGTTCCAGTTATTGAACAAATTTGTGCGGACTGTTAATAAGGGAGGAATTTTTAATTTTGAATATAATTTGTAAGTTAAGAAAAAGATGAAAGGCGGAGAAAACGTAAATACAAGTGCTAGCATTGAACTGTTTTTGTATAGCATATATGATCTACCGGTATTTGAATGACACACCTATGCAAGCAAACAAATCACAATGCACTAGCACGCATAATGTTGTTTGCTTGTAAAGCTGTGTCATTCAAATAGATCATAAATGCCATAAAAAACAGTTCAATGCTTAATTGAGTGATGCACAGCATATAAACATACAATATAAAATCTACTGTGAACAAGTTTTTAGGTCATGATTCGTAGATGAAGTTTTACCTATCGACAAAGATAGAACCCTTCCACACAAACCTACCTCCTTGTCCACTTGTAGAATGGGTTGGTTAAGGAAGGGCTGGAGACTGGGCAGCAGTTTACAGTGGTTATCTGCGATGTTAAAAGTCTTAGATAGGGCAGATATAAAACCGACAGCTCCCTGGCGGATCCAGATACCCTGTAACATGTAAAACAAGGCATGCTTACATATACAATATGTAGAGCTATCTTTCACAACAGGTTTATTGTCATGATTTTGAGATAGGAATTCAATGCGGCAGTAAACAGTCATGATCAGATAACGATCGGTATTAGCTGTAGGATGGCGTAACAATTAAAAAATAGCAAATCAAACACTGTAAAGTTGAGTGTTTTTTCATATAAATGCAAGAAATAAAACTTCTTACAAATCAAAAACTTTACAAAAGTATTCTTGTGTTGTCCATTAATTCAAGGTTGCTTACACAAAATCAATGGACAAATTGCAACAACAGCATTGAATAGCAGAGCAGTATATCGCTCCCTACCCTCCTCCCCCAATATATATAGTGGAGAAAATTAATGTAAATGGCAACTTAAGGATGCTGCATTAACTTTTTTGTAAATTGTTCAGAAACTTGAATTACAAGGTTTTTTTAAAGTATAAAAATACAAGCAATTAAAAAGGTCTGCTATCAGCAAATCTACCAACACAAAGTTATTTAGTCCACATAAACAAAGTTTATGTTTCATCAATTTAAGTATGAACATACATGCAGTTTAGAAGCTATTACAGCAATATTTTAACCTTGTTCAATAGGAAGTCAAACTTTTAGGTCTAGGTACTTACAGGGTGGGCCAGAAAGGGCACTATGTCGTGTAGAAATTCCTGAAGCATAGTCTTCTGTATCAGTCCCAGTTCTGTCAAAGACTTCAGGGCACCCAGACTTTTATGTACCACGTACTCCTCTGGATCACTCAGGCCCTTTAATACATGTATAAACATTTTGTTAATAATCCATTTTCAGCAACTTCTCTATATGAGGCTGCTATAGAAAAAATACTGACGAATATTCTATAAAATTTACACAGGAAAATGATTTTTTCCACAATTTTGAATGTTTAAGATTTCTTCACTGTAGAACACAATAGTTTTGCATCATTACCTCTCAATATAATAACTAAGACGTGTGATTATGGCTTAATGCAGGAACAAATATCATAAGGCACGCAGATCTGACTGGGTTTGATCTAAGTTTATAACATTTGATGAACGTTTCCATCAATTTTTATTACACTATCAGGTGGTCCGATGTCAAACTTCAGTACTTTAAATTTTGGTTATCTAACTGTTGGACTTCAAAACAACCAAGATAAGTACTTGTTAAAATGTCTGCTCTACTTTATGTGTAAACATCAACACTCCAAATTCTATTAGTGACCATCACATATACATTGGTAAAAGACAGACACATGATAACATTATATGCTCCACAATTTTTGGATTTATAAAAAAAAGCATATTTTGTAAAATTTATGTTTACAAACTTCAATTAACAATGTAAAAAAGTTCTACCCTTGCTACTATAAGCTCTTTTGACTCTCTGCGTTTTGTTGAGGATGCTAAAATGGTCATAAGTTTGTGGAGATCACGTTACCTGTTCCAGTAAAGGTTTCAGGATAGAGGAGCTCTGCCAGCCGACGTACGCTGCCACGCCCACTATGTTACCGAAAAATGATCCACGAAGGTGCCAGTCAGTCTGTAAATATCAACAATATTGTCTAAAAAAAATACCAATCAGTCTGTAAATATCAACAATATTGTCTAAAAAAAATACTGATCAGTCTAAAAATTTCATCAAATTGTCTAAAAAAATACTGATCAGTCTGAAAATATCAACAATATTGTCTAAAAAAGTTGTAAGTCTTTCTCCGGTCATGAACGCTTAAAGTTTGTAATCATTGACTAGATCAGTGGATAACATCCCAATAAGTTCTTGTCAAATAATATGTACCAGCTCTTTGTTTATGAAATAGGGATGATCTAGTGATTTAGTCTTGTGGAAGGTTGGAAAAGGTTGAAAATGTCGCAGTAAATCAGAGGACATGCGGGGATCTTTGATTTTCAACTGATCCAAAAAATAACTACACATGTCAGGGCTAGATGAGATGAACATTTCATGTGTTAAGTTTTTAAAAATCGGCCTGAGGGAAATTTAGAGTTTGAAAATGTCACAACCAGTGTGACAAAAGTGTAGCCACATGTGGTAATCTTGGACTTCAAATCAGTGTAAAACTGTAACTACATGTGGTAATCTTGGACTTCAAATCAGTGTAAAAATGTAACTACTTGTGGTAGTCTTGGACTTCAAATCAGTGAAAAAAGGTAACTACATGTGGTAGTCTTGGACTTCAAATCAGTGTAAAACTGTAACTACATGTGGTAGTCTTGGACTTCAAATCAGTGTAAAAATGTAACTACATGTGGTAGTCTTGGACTTCAAATCAGTGTAAAAATGTAACTACATGTGGTAGTCTTGGACTTCAAATCAGTGTAAAAATGTAACTACATGTGGTAGTCTTGGACTTCAAATCAGTGTAAAAATGTAACTACATGTGGTAGTCTTGGACTTCAAATCAGTGTAAAAATGTAACTACATGTGGTAGTCTTGGACTTCAAATCAGTGTAAAAATGTAACTACATGTGGTAGTCTTGGACTTCAAATCAGTGTAAAAATGTAACTACATGTGGTAGTCTTGGACTTCAAATCAGTGTAAAAATGTAACTACATGTGGTAGTCTTGGACTTCAAATCAGTGTAAAAATGTAACTACATGTGGTAGTCTTGGACTTCAAATCAGTGTAAAAATGTAACTACATGTGGTAGTCTTGGACTTCAAATCAGTGTAAAAATGTAACTACATGTGGTAATATTGGACTTCAAATCAGTGTAAAAATGTAACTACATGTGGTAATATTGGACTTCAAATCAGTGTAAAAATGTAACTACATGTGGTAATATTGGACTTCAAATCAGTGTAAAAATGTAACTACATGTGGTAATATTGGACTTCAAATCAGTGTAAAAATGTAACTACATGTGGTAATATTGGACTTCAAATCAGTGTAAAAATGTAACTACATGTGGTAATATTGGACTTCAAATCAGTGTAAAAATGTAACTACATGTGGTAATCTTGGACTTCAAATCAGTGTAAAAATGTAACTACATGTGGTAGTCTTGGACTTCAAATCAGTGTAAAAATGTAACTACATGTGGTAGTCTTGGACTTCAAATCAGTGTAAAAATGTAACTACATGTGGTAGTCTTGGACTTCAAATCAGTGTAAAAATGTAACTACATGTGGTAGTCTTGGACTTCAAATCAGTGTAAAAATGTAACTACATGTGGTAGTCTTGGACTTCAAATCAGTGTAAAAATGTAACTACATGTGGTAGTCTTGGACTTCAAATCAGTGTAAAAATGTAACTACATGTGGTAGTCTTGGACTTCAAATCAGTGTAAAAATGTAACTACATGTGGTAGTCTTGGACTTCAAATCAGTGTAAAAATGTAACTACATGTGGTAGTCTTGGACTTCAAATCAGTGTAAAAATGTAACTACATGTGGTAGTCTTGGACTTCAAATCAGTGTAAAAATGTAACTACATGTGGTAGTCTTGGACTTCAAATCAGTGTAAAAATGTAACTACATGTGGTAGTCTTGGACTTCAAATCAGTGTAAAAATGTAACTACATGTGGTAGTCTTGGACTTCAAATCAGTGTAAAAATGTAACTACATGTGGTAGTCTTGGACTTCAAATCAGTGTAAAAATGTAACTACATGTGGTAGTCTTGGACTTCAAATCAGTGTAAAAATGTAACTACATGTGGTAGTCTTGGACTTCAAATCAGTGTAAAAATGTAACTACATGTGGTAGTCTTGGACTTCAAATCAGTGTAAAAATGTAACTACATGTGGTAGTCTTGGACTTCAAATCAGTGTAAAAATGTAACTACATGTGGTAGTCTTGGACTTCAAATCAGTGTAAAAATGTAACTACATGTGGTAGTCTTGGACTTCAAATCAGTGTAAAAATGTAACTACATGTGGTAGTCTTGGACTTCAAATCAGTGTAAAAATGTAACTACATGTGGTAGTCTTGGACTTCAAATCAGTGTAAAAATGTAACTACATGTGGTAGTCTTGGACTTCAAATCAGTGTAAAAATGTAACTACATGTGGTAGTCTTGGACTTCAAATCAGTGTAAAAATGTAACTACATGTGGTAGTCTTGGACTTCAAATCAGTGTAAAAATGTAACTACATGTGGTAGTCTTGGACTTCAAATCAGTGTAAAAATGTAACTACATGTGGTAGTCTTGGACTTCAAATCAGTGTAAAAATGTAACTACATGTGGTAGTCTTGGACTTCAAATCAGTGTAAAAATGTAACTACATGTGGTAGTCTTGGACTTCAAATCAGTGTAAAAATGTAACTACATGTGGTAGTCTTGGACTTCAAATCAGTGTAAAAATGTAACTACATGTGGTAGTCTTGGACTTCAAATCAGTGTAAAAATGTAACTACATGTGGTAGTCTTGGACTTCAAATCAGTGTAAAAATGTAACTACATGTGGTAGTCTTGGACTTCAAATCAGTGTAAAAATGTAACTACATGTGGTAGTCTTGGACTTCAAATCAGTGTAAAAATGTAACTACATGTGGTAGTCTTGGACTTCAAATCAGTGTAAAAATGTAACTACATGTGGTAGTCTTGGACTTCAAATCAGTGTAAAAATGTAACTACATGTGGTAGTCTTGGACTTCAAATCAGTGTAAAAATGTAACTACATGTGGTAGTCTTGGACTTCAAATCAGTGTAAAAATGTAACTACATGTGGTAGTCTTGGACTTCAAATCAGTGTAAAAATGTAACTACATGTGGTAGTCTTGGACTTCAAATCAGTGTAAAAATGTAACTACATGTGGTAATATTGGACTTCAAATCAGTGTAAAAATGTAACTACATGTGGTAATATTGGACTTCAAATCAGTGTAAAAATGTAACTACATGTGGTAATATTGGACTTCAAATCAGTGTAAAAATGTAACTACATGTGGTAATATTGGACTTCAAATCAGTGTAAAAATGTAACTACATGTGGTAATATTGGACTTCAAATCAGTGTAAAAATGTAACTACATGTGGTAATATTGGACTTCAAATCAGTGTAAAAATGTAACTACATGTGGTAATCTTGGACTTCAAATCAGTGTAAAACTGTAACTACATGTGGTAGTCTTGGACTTCAAATCAGTGTAAAACTGTAACTACATGTGGTAGTCTTGGACTTCAAATCAGTGTAAAACTGTAACTACATGTGGTAATATTGGACTTCAAATCAGTGTAAAAATGTAACTACATGTGGTAATATTGGACTTCAAATCAGTGTAAAAATGTAGCATTCTTTTAAAGATTTCCCTCTAATTTTGTCTATTTGGCCTGCTATTCATCTCTCAGAGAGCCTCAAAATGTATTTATAAAATATCAAATTCCTGTATATGCTCCATAAAACCAAATGCATTCAAATTCCCCTTAGCCATTCTGAACTAAAGCAGTCTTTTAAAAGAAAAATTTGACAACGCACCATCATGAAATATGCTCACCTAAGCCCTTTTGGCAAGGTGAACTAAAATGTTACATTTGAAAGTAGAAAAACTGTTTTTTCTGTACCACAGTGTATGAAAAATATTCCTGTACATTACATTTTGCCCTTGGTACTGTCACCTCTCCCATCATGTACTTACCTTGTCGTTGTGGTACTGTCACCTCTCCCATCATGTACTTACCTTGTCGTTGTGGTACTGTCACCTCTCCCATCATGTACTTACCTTGTCGTTGTGGTACTGTCACCTCTCCCATCATGTACTTACCTTGTCGTTGTGGTACTGTCACCTCTCCCATCATGTACTTACCTTGTCGTTGTGGTACTGTCACCTCTCCCATCATGTACTTACCTTGTCGTTGTGGTACTGTCACCTCTCCCATCATGTACTTACCTTGTCGTTGTGGTACTGTCACCTCTCCCATCATGTACTTACCTTGTCGTTGTGGTACTGTCACCTCTCCCATCATGTACTTACCTTGTCGTTGTGGTACTGTCACCTCCCCCATCATGTACTTACCTTGTCGTTGTGGTACTGTCACCTCTCCCATCATGTACTTACCTTGTCGTTGAGGAAGGTTATCATGTGTGATAACAGAACATCATTAGCTGCAAAAAAAGACAATTAAAATTGAAGAGTATTACCATATGTTATTGTTAATATCTGGTTAATATTACTTTCTCACTATTCAATATTTACGCTAAGACTTGATACACATGGGGAATCAATCCCAAATTCAATAATGTCAAAAACATCAATCTAAACCCATTTTAACAAGTTAGGTATTTGTTAATTTGTATATTATTCATCTTTCTTATATGTATACAAAGTAATTTAACAATAATACACACAGAATCCAGGAACATGTTTTAAAATTTTATAAACCTTTTTCCTAAAATAAGTGTTTTGAAGCATTTATAAAATTTAGTACTGTATACATTAAATTAAATATATTAGCAGTTATACCCCCAAAAAAACATAGTCACACACTAACTACATATCTTGTTAAAAGATAAGACAAATCTTCAAACCTAGTTGATGGCACATGTGAAGGTTTGGGAAGACATTTTATATTTTAAGCACACAATCATAAAAAATCTTATTATGTGCTATTTAAATGCGAACATATTTTAAAATTATACAATAACTAAACTCTACTAGATCTATATCTGGGCTGGTTTTGCTATAATCACCTCTCTGTCGGCCGAAGAACACACAGAGTCGGGTGATACCATTCTCCAGGAGAGCCTGCTTTACGACGTTGTCCGAGTCACTGAGTAACATGACCACCTTCTGTTGTATTGTCTCCTGTAGTGACAGCAGCTCCATGTCGTAACTCGCCTACAAAAGTAATACAACACTTACTATATCTGTAATACAACACTTACTATATCTGTAATACAACACTTACTATATCTGTAATACAACACTTACTATATCTGTAATACAACACTTACTATATCTGTAATACAACACTTACTATATCTGTAATACAACACTTACTATATCTGTAATACAACACTTACTATATCTGTAATACAACACTTACTATATCTGTAATACAACACTTACTATATCTGTAATACAACACTTACTATATCTGTAATACAACACTTACTATATCTGTAATACAACACTTACTATATCTGTAATACAACACTTACTATATCTGTAATACAACACTTACTATATCTGTAATACAACACTTACTATATCTGCACAAATCAAGTGTTTGGGTTCCAGTTGTAAGGATTACCTACTGTTGAGACCATGGCACTAGATTCCTATATTTACAATATATGTTAACTGTAACACTTTTCACACCATCAATGGTTTGCCCTCTGGCATTTTAAAACAAATCTGCCCAGTGGTGAATTCGCTCACATATATTTACTGCATCCTCGATATCCAGGGGTGACACTCACTTTCGCTTTCTACACCCTTGAATATGTCATAGCCAAATTGAAAGCTTGGTGTGCGCCACCTTGTTAATGAGACAAGAAGACTAGCTCGATCCTTTGATGTACATCAAAAGAATCTTGCGGTCACATAACGGTAAAAATTGACAGGCTTTGAGGTCGGGTGTCTCTCTTTGTAATCTTCAAAGGAAAGATATCAGCCTAGCGATTGGTCTGGTGTTTTTTTTATCTGAGACCAATCAAACAGCTAACTTTGTGCCTTCAATTTTGCTATGACATATTCCAGGGATGTAGAGAGCGAAAGTGAGCATAACCCCTGAATATCGAGGATGATATTTACTGGTACATGATCTGATGATTGTATATCATAAATTGTTGAATCTGTGTGGAATTCTTCCTATCATCCAAAGTGAAACAGGTATAAACATTATAGGGCAGACATTTACTATTTTACAGCGTGCCTCAATAGTAAACACAATGTGTTGATAGTGTCAAACAAGAGTATCAGTGGAACTGATGTATGCTCCCACAAAACAACTTTATTAGAGGCTTTTCCTGTTTGTGAGTTTTGCATTTGGTTAGATTTATGACACATATTGGTAAAAATATGTTGAAATGGGGAGTTTGGGAGAAGAAAAATAATGTTTTAACACGTTACATACATGTAATGAGTCTGACACATAGCATATGATTCAGCTATGAAATATGAAGGCACATTTTACTGATAATTAATGTATTCTACTATATGCCAGCTATAAGCACTAATAGTTGTGTGTATATGCATATTTTGGTATTGTAAATTGTATTGTAAAACTCTGTAAATAACGGGTTGCATGCCGTGATTCAGTACAGTGCACATCACCTTAGTGTGACTAATGAACATACAAAGATTCATGGTCCTAGCTTAAATGCAGGCAAAGTTATGTTCCAGACATGATATTTGAGCAAAGGGCAATAACTATATTATTATTAAAGGGCTGCATACCCTGAATACGGTACACTGTACATCACATTAGTATGACTGATGTACACACCAAGATTCATGATCCTAACTTAACTGCAGGCAAAGTTATGCTCCGGACACAACATTTTAGGTAAGGGCAATAACTCTGTAATTAAGTGGTTGTGGGCCCTGAATTATAGATACTGTGCACATTGCCTTAGTATTACTTATGTACATACGAAGTGAAAGTTTATTGATCCTATCTTAAATGCAAGCAAAGTTATGCTCCAGACACAACATTTTAGCAAAGGGCAATTACTCTGTAAATAAGGGGTTGTGGGCCCTAAATTTGGAACAGTGCACATCGTCTTAGTATGAGTGATGTACACAACAAGTTTCATGATCCTAGCTTAAATGTGGGTAAAGTTATGCTCCGGACACGAATAGGACGGACGGAAGGACAGGCGTACAAAGTGGCAACTATATGCTACCCGAAAATTAGAGTTACCCTACAAGCAGGGTCCTTACCTGGAAGAGGGCGCCCTCAGAATCTACGTTCTCGTCCTCAATGCTTTCCTCAAGTTCTTTTAGCTGCATCATCTCTAGTACACTGTTACAAGTCAAAACAAGAACAATTACATATACAGACAGACGGAGGGACGAACAGACCGAGACAGACACTGATACAGGCTATGGAACAACAAAGACAACAGAAAACAATGACGAATATTGTATAGTGTTACAATTTCGGCAAAATAATATCATACTTCACTCCAAGCTCTAATTGTTTTGGAAATACCCAAAGTTCCAAAGTGCCTGTATCACTTCCTAGATATTTAGGAAACTATGACAAAATATTTTCATTAAGTGATTATGAACAAGTCCCAAGAGGTGGAGCCAAAATTTAAGCTAATCCTAATACATGTAGAATGATTGTGTTGTTAGGCTAATCCTAGTACATGTATTATGATAGTGTTGTTAGGCTAATCCTAGTACATGCCGAATGATAGTGTTGTTAGGCTAATCCTAGTACATGTACAATGATAGAGTTGTTAGGCTAACCCTAGTACATGTAGTATGATAGTGTTGTTAGGCTAACCCTAGTAAATGTAGAATGATAGGGTTACTAGGCTAATCCTAGTAAATGTAGAATGATAGTATTGTTAGGCTAACCCTAGTACATGTAGAATGATTGTGTTGTTAGGCTAATCCTAGTAAATGTAGTATGATAGTGTTGTTAGGCTAACCCTAGTAAATGTAGAATGATAGTGTTACTAGGCTAATCCTAGTACATGTAGAATGATAGTA